CACTTGCTAGAGCCTCTGTAGTAATGTTACTATACAGAGCAACACTCTCTACTCTCTCCTATATTCCACTACAGTCTCCTTTTGCTCCTGAAGGACAGAACTGCAGTTCTTAAGATTCATGTAGCCGGGTGGTGGTGGCACACACCTTTAACCCCAGCACTTGGGAGGCAGAGCCAGGTGGATCTCTGTGAGTTTGAGGCCAGCCTGGCCTACAGAGCAAGATCCAGCACAGGCACCAAAACTACACAGAGAAACCCTGTCTCGAAAAAAAAAAAAAAAATCATTCAATACTAAGGAGTTGCTGTGTGTATTAACATCTGGATTACTGCTATAATTGCTAACCCAATATGTCAGGAATCCAGAAAGTAAACTTTTTATTATAACATAACACACATGCACAAAAGTACATAAATCAAAGGTGTACATTTTGTCAACATTTTTAATGTGGGAATTTAAATTGTTAATGAGCATATAATATAGTTCATTGGAGACCACGATGCCACTAGGAGAGAAGATCGTAAATGAAACCCAGGAACTAGGGGTCTGGATATATTCGCAGGCTTGCTCTTCTCCACACACTTAATGACACCCAAGCGTCTTGTTACATGCTCTTCATAGGATAAAAGTTAGCATAGCTAACCTCAAGATGACTTAGAAAGATGCTTCAGTATATAAAGGAGCTTAATGTACATGTAAAATTGTCTGGACTGAAGTTGATTTAAAAGTTGGAACTTTTAAATGGCAGATAAACTTGGGTCAATAAAGGTTTCACAAAATATGCAAGACAGACTCATTTATGTATTCACTAGACAGACAGTCCATCCATCTTTTCAGGAACAATGCACAATGTACAAGAACCCTAGTTATTATTATCCATCACTTCCTTAACAGGAGGACTTTGAGTTTGTTTTTTCCTTTTTAAAAAAATTTTTCTCTAATGACTGTGACGTTTTATTTCCTCACCTGCCGATCTCTAAATTGTATGTTTCTAAGTTGTAAACCAAAGATTTAAACCCTATCAATTGTTTAAAACAGTTCCACACAATGCATCTACCTTTGCTCCCACACACTTCCATTGTATGATTACATCAAGGCCCACGTCTCCGCCACTATCTGACCCTTGTTCACTTTCTTTCCTCCCCTCCACCCACCAAACTTTGCCCTTCCTGCCAAAGTTCAGCACTTCCTAGAAAAGTCTCACTGCCTGTTTGATATTGTACTTCACTTTAGTCACCAAAGGAAGAATTTACAGGTGCTTGGCCCCATCTATAAGACCATGACCGAAATCTGACCTCCTGTTACAATACATGAACTTCTGCCCTACTGATAAGGCTGGCAGATATAAGTAGGATTTTTCAAATAATCCTTTGGGAATTTATAAGCAGCACAGCCATAAAGGGGGGTGAATGGAAGGTCGGTTTCACTAAAAATAATAAATATTGCCATGTTTATTCAAAGTGTGCCTTGTTATGCTCCAGGCCAAAAGTTCAGATAAACACTATTGTAAATGACAAAATATTAGAACTTTTTGTTACTTGTGTTATGATCCTTCTGTTGAACAGCAATAGAACTGTTTTCCCCTGTATAAAGCCCCTGACATTGAATAGCATGTCCTGAGATGAGAAGATTGGATTTGCTTGAGGGTCAAAAGAAGGGTGGTTATCTTTTACAATAAAAAAAAATGACTATTATATAGTGCTCATATTAAGTGGTAAAGGGAAAAACACCCACCAGATTGAATAAACATTATACCTGTCCTAAAAGGGCTTCCCATTTATTGATGAAGAAGAATACACCTGAGTATGATGGTTAATGCAATAAACACAGAGACAAACCACATACTCTACAAATGTAGAGAACTAATTCACTGAGTTCAGTCTGCAATATTGAAAAAAATTTGTTGGAAGACAGGTATAAAATAAGTAAGAATCAGGAAATTGAAATGAAACCATGAAAAAAGAAAAACAATGAAATGGGAGTGGTAATTAAGGTAGAAGGGCTAGTGTGCAGAAAGGATGACAACCACAACCATAACATGCTTCAGAATTTGAAAGCAAGGTGGTAAGCAGCAAGAAATGTGAAAGACCTCTAAAGAGCCATGGGATATGATTTCTTCATTATTTCTGTGTCTTATAAGATAGATGACCAGTGGGATTAAGCAGGTAACACATGCTAGACAGAACTAGGACTATGGCAGGAGTTAAGTGTCTGAGATCAAGGGTAGAAGGAATACTTAAGGAGAATGCTTTCACTAGCTATGATGAAGTGAATGGAGGCCATATGATGGTGTGGAGAGTAAGATAAAGTTCAATTACAGTCACAAAATCTACAGGTGTAGATACGGTACTGAGGAAAGACAGAAAGTATGGTGATTACAACAATCTTTTTATGGCTTCAAGACCACTGACATTTCAGAAGGAGTCTGTAGGGGCAGTGAAGTGTGAGAAATACATCAAGACACTAAGTTTCTACTACCTGCAGAGTCTCCATAAGGTTGAGTGCAGTAGGTTTCTTTCTTTCTTTGCTTGTTGCTGTTGTCATTAGGCGACGGAGTCCAGAGCCTCCCACAATGTTAAACATATACTCTACCACCGAGCCCATGCCCTGTCCCAGCACATGCACCTTTTAACAACAGCAAGAAACAGCAGTGGCACAGGTAGAACCCTGAGAAACTAAAGGGAACAAAGAAGATGAGCCGACAAACACCAAAGTAGACAGCAATATCAGACAGGCAGGCAAAGAGGAAGAAAACCATTGTGTAAAGGAAGAAAATTAGATTAAGAGTTGAGAGGTAAAAATGATCAATAAAGTCTAGATCCTGCAAGATACACACTCAAAGAGTGATAAGAGGAAAGAGAAGCACTTTGGAAATGATCAGAATGAAGAAATGAAGACCATATTGGAATGGAAGGAATTACTACTATATAGTTTAAGTTCTTATTCTCCATTCTTCAGTTCCCAAATGCTCTTTTTCTCAAGGCCTAAGATTAATGTTAACCATATTAGAAAATGAGAACTTTGTAATAAATATCATGTTGAGTAACATATTTAAATATTCTTGTTAATACTGTGAGGAACTGTACTTTACCATGAAGTACTATGCACAGCTGACTTGAACACAGCTCTACATAGTAACAAGATTACATCCCCAGTTCTATGAATTTAGTACCAGGTTACACATGTTTTCACTATCCTTTAGCAAAACTGGTGTTAGATTTTATTCAGAGTCCCCATAAGTCTAAAACAGGGGTATCTAAATTATAAACCTATATTCCAAAACACTAGAGCTGAGTTCCTCCAATCATTAGCTGTAATTTTCAAACTGCAAAAAGGAAACAGTGCCTTAGACATAGTTACAGAGAATTTGTAAGTATCAAATATGTCACCATTTCAAATACTAATGTGTAGAGTCTTATTCCGATTAGACAGTTTTCTAATGTGATCATTTCTAAACCAGCAGACTTTAGTTCTCATATAACTTAAGCCTATATGCTCACTGTTAATTAAGAAATACATTTTGTCAATTTGTTAATAAAAATCTGGACCTCCTATACACATGTCTCTACTTCACAGTGAATGCTTCTGAAAATACTAGGGCTGTATCTGTACATCAGCATCTGAAACCACATCATCTAACCAGACAACTGCCATTTATTTAATGCCAATCATTTGCCAAGGACTGAGTTGACATTATTTCACTATCAATAACTGTACTAAGCAGGAAATTATTATCCCATTTCATATATGAGTGTACTAGACCACCCTAACACACATAGCTAGTAAATATATAAGTAAATGATTTTACTACTGTGTTAGAATTCCCACTTGAGACAAATTTGTTCTGTTTTCATAAAAATGTAACAAAGCTTATAAAAAGCAGCACACAGTGGTAAAACAGCGCAGCCACATTATCACTACCCCAGGAATGCACTTCCATCTTGGTATACTGCAACCATTTCAAGCACAAACCTAGCTATCCACACATATCCCAATCCATTTCACACAGAAAAGACACAAATGAGTACTAAAAACTGTATATGGGTAATGACATTTCCATCAGCACAGCGTGAATTATAAAAACTTGAAGACAATCCAAGGGGAATACTGTCATCTTGGAACAAAGGAGCTTTGGTTTGAGAATTGGTTTGAGGTTGGCAGGATGGTTGCTTGTTTGTGTGTTAGTTTAGGTTTATTTTTGGTTGTTTTATGGAAGCTCAAACATTATGAACTATAAGATTAAAACTGATGTGCCTGATTACCTCAAAATTAAAGATTTCCATTTCAAGAAATATAAACACAGTTTGCAGTACAAACACAAACTGGAGGGTGTTTACAGTATCCTAAACTGTCAATATCAACTACACAGAAGGAATTTCTGAAATTTCTCTTTCCAAGAAAATAAAAAAAAAGGAAACTCAAAATAAAATACTAACCAAGGTTTAGAAATAGGTATGAAGTGGTTAATGCATCTATAAGGAAAAGCACAATTTTATACCAGCAGTCAAAGAAATTCAAATGTACAAACACTGTACTCAGGACCCACCAGGCTCTGTTCACCTGTATCTCTGCATGCAGGCGGATAGCCACAGTAAGGAAATAGCCACTTCCTAGGACTCTATTAATACCACAGACTTGCCCTTTTGGAAAATTTCTTTTACTAGTGTTTTATAGAAGAAGAGGAATTGTCAAAAAATGTAAATATTTTTCATAAGTACTTTAAAGTATAAAAAGCAAGTTATTCTAGGTTAAATATGGTAGATTAGAAACAGAGAAAGCTGAATACATGTAACTATCATCCTTATAACTTACAATCTACTGATGGCAGTTTGAGCTGTCATCAGCTATAGAGCATTTTACAAGTCAAATATAAACAAGATTCAATTCAGAGTAGAAGGAATTAGTTAATATTCATTAAACAAATTTTTGCTTAAAACAAATTAAAAAGTAATAATAATCAGAATTTTGAGTTCAATACAAATCCTTATTAGGTAAAGACTCACCAGAACAGAATATATGTGCAGACACCGATATACAGGGGAGAAATCCACCAAGTCTTGAGCCCCAGGTACCTAGAAGCATACAATTACAAAATATCAAATAAAATTATTATGGGAAAACTGCATTAACTTTGTTTTTAGTACTCAAACAGTGATTTGTTTTCAAAGCCAGCTCTATATTCTAAAATGGTGATTCAAAACAAACAAAAGAATAATGTTCTCAGGTTGCAGAGATGGCTCAGCAATTAAGAGTGTTTGCTGCTTATAGCTAGAGTTTTCCTGCCTGGCCCACAGTCAGGACAAATCTTTGTCACCCGCCAGTCCCACAGTCACTCAGACCCAACCAAGTAAACAGAGACTTATATTGCTTACAAACTGTATGGCCGTGGCAGGCTTCTTGCTAACTGTTCTTATAGCTTAAATTAATCCATTTCCATAAATCTATACCTTGCCATGTGGCTCATGGCTTACCAGCATCTTCGCATGCGGCTTGTCATGGTGGCGGCTGGCAGTGTCTCTTTCTGCCTTCCTATTCTTTCTTTTCTCCTCTCTGTTAGTCCCGCCTATACTTCCTGCCTAGCCACTGGCCAATCAGTATTTTATTTATTGACCAATCAGAGCAACACATTTGCCATACAGAACATCCCACAGCAGCTGCTCTTTCAGAAGACCAGAGTTCAGTTCCCAGCACCACATAATGTAACTCACAACCACTTGCAACTCCAGTTCCAGGGGACCCAATACTTTTGGCCTCCCCAAGTACCCACACACAGGTGGCATACACATACAGAGATGTACATACATACACATAAATAAAAAATAAAATAAAGCTTTTTTAAAAAGTCACATTCCCAAGCAAGACATATAGCTGTAATGTAATCCTAGAACTTGGGATAAGGCAGGAGCATCAAGAGTTCAAGGTCATTTTTATGTACATGAATCCTGTCTCAAAAATACCACAGAGAGAGACAGAAACAAAGACAGACAGATAGACAGAGAGCACTCCCAAAAGTTTTAATTAGTTTTAATTCTAGTCACAAGCTGTGCTGACAGGGGCCATGTGGCACAGTCCCACAGAGATGAGAAGAGAAACTGCTTTTTCTTTCTTCAGAGACACTGAGCTGAGGGCCACCAAGGAAAGTGTAAAGATGGGGCTGTGACTTTGGTGACCCAAGCCAACTTCTAAAATGTATAGAGTTTACATAAAAGTCAAGTTTCAGTTGCCAAAGCCAAATGTGCTACACAAGACGACTGTTTTTAATGGCCAGGCAGCTATTAAAGGGCATAAGTATTCAAATGCTTAAGTCTTTTTCATCAAAATACAGAAGTGATACAAAAAAGAGTGTATACTGTACTAAAAATGAGATGGCAAATGGAAAAGCCAAACCAAGAAGTTACTCAACAGACTTTAAAGTGAGTAATGAATAATATATTGACTAAACTTAAACATCAAAATAAAAAGTACAAATCAGGTAAGAACTGAAATCAATTCTCAGAACTATAAAGAATTTGCTAGGTGACTTGACAAGAGGGAAGTCAGAATGAACTTTGATCTAAATTTCCTCAACTGAGAAGAAAACTATCATTTGTCATACACAAATTCAACAAGATTAACAGGGACCTGAAAATACATGTTAAATAAAATGAAACAAAAAGAAAAGTATATAAGTAATTACAATAAAGATCTAGCTGGTTTTTCCTGTCACAATGGTAACTATATAAATGAGCAGCACAAAAACAGCGGAAACATCTAAGCTGAGTTAGGTGACTCATGGTTACAGTGCTGATTCCCTTTCTTTCATAAAGCAAACACTATCTCTTCTTAGGGACACGTTTCTCTAACTAAGACTCTTCTCACAATGAAAATGGTCTTTGTTCTCCAGTATTGCACTGTTCCCTGGCTGGAACCATCTGGCACTCTGCCTTCTGCTCTGCTCCACCAGGTGAATCTTAGGTCTCCACACTGAAGCTCTAAGAATGCTGAGGAGGCTTCTGCAAGCAAAATAGCTGCTGTAGGAGCCAAAACACTCTGTGCCATGGGGTCTCTTATTTCAAGTGACCAGTCACCTCCATATGATGGCAGCATGAAAACTTTAGGGAAATTTGTCTGCCAGAAAACAAGAGCTTAAAGCTATATAAAACACAACATCAAAAGATAAAAATTTAAAGATTTACAATGGTATTTAAACTACATAAAAACAATGTGTACACATGAAAAAAGACAAAGGAAACATGTAGAGTAAAAATGAATCTATACAGGAAATGAGATTATTTATTTAGAATAATTGTGGTTACTTAAGATCTATATAAAAGGTATAGAGAACTTTTCTTGCCTAATTTTGACAAGCAAATTCAGCCATGGCCTCTTTTTACAGGTTCCTCATACAGTTTGCCTATTTAGGATCACTCTGTCACAGAGCCAGTTCCTCTCAAAAAGGAAACCACTGGAAGCCAGTCCTCAGGCAGAACCTTGGCCCACTGACTTGTCAGAGCCATCCTTACAGAATAAACAGCAATAGTAAGGGGCATTTCCCTAGAGAGCTGTGACAAATTAGCTTTACAGGCCCCTTAGCAACTAGGAAAGGCATTCTGTTGCTAATAGATTAGGATTGGTCTATCTGCACTATCATTTTCTAAAAGGTATATCTTGAAAGGTGACAGTTCTTTCCTGTCATTGGCAGCAAGTCTGTCTTCTGACTGTTTACAGTATCCTGATGTATAGCTATTTGCTCTATTATTCCCTGGCCCCAAACCTAACATACAGATGAATTCTCCTGAGTACAAGCACACTGTCTGCTTTGAAAGCACCGCAAAAAGAGCTAGGCAAAAAGGAAAGGAACAAAAAGAGGCTCCAGCTCACCACCTCTCCCTCCCTCCACAAACAGCCCAATATTTAGAACCCTTTTTCCTCCCTGCTCCCCTCTGAGAGCACACTAGGAGTGAGCACTGTGAGGAGACAGAGTGCTGTGAGGCTAGAGGCATGACAAGTATGCACTGACTCATGTTGCTTTGAGCTGGATGTGTTTTCTCTGCTTCTCCTAATGAAAAAGAATCACTTACATCTACAGACGGCAAGAGGAGAAGAGCAACAAGCACTGCGTGAAGGAATGTCACCCTTCTGCAAGATGGAATGTAGTTTCCAAACTCTAAAACACCGGGTGGAGGAGAGCTGGGGACAAAAGCAGCTGCCCTAGTACACTAGCTACAACTTGTCCGATTGAAGGTCCACATTATGCTCTATCAGAGCAGACTTCATATTGCCTTCCCTTCCTTTGCCTGCCCTCCCCTCAAATTGCAAAGAATGACTCAAGCAGACTTAGGTTTCATCAGGGAGGGGTCCAAGGACACTTTCCTAAGCTAACAATGACTGTCTCTAATGGTTTCTGTCTCCTAACAAAAGCCATGACTCTTTTATCTGCTTCATCTAATTTTTCCTTTCCAAAATAAATAACAGAGCCCTTGCATTTTACACATGTCCAAATTTGACAAATCATTATCCACAGAGACTGGAAGTGATAAGAGATAACTTTGTGGTGGGACGCTGTCATTTCCTCTTATAAGGGCTTTCTTTGGGGCTACAACAACATGATTAAAATAGTTAAACATTTCCTTTGCCTGGCAGTCAGGAACTCAAGACATTAAGACCCTGGAGTCTGCATTTTTCTACAAGTTCAAATAGACCTAGGAGAACACCAGCGGTGACCACAAACAGTACACAGGGCACGACCCTACTTTGTGTCTAATGTTAAGAACTCATATGAAATCACTTCATCACCAAGGACAGCAACTGCTTAATTGCCTGCACAGTTCCAAGAGCAAAGTGAATACCTCCCACCAGCCAAAAACTCATAATTTTCTCAACAAGCAACAGTTGGGAAGATTTTATATGGTACAACTATGATTTGTGCCCCCAGAGAACATCACATAAGGTAAGAAACACAAGCATTTTTTAACAAAACAAATAATAGCTATTAAAAGGGATGTCACAGTGACCAAAGCACAACACAGAAGTAGACAGGGAGGCTACTGCTTCACGCTACTACCATTTCACATTCATAGAGACAGTTTCAGCCAAGCCAAGGCTTGTCAACCTTCATCTACAGGATATTTGTTAACCAACACTTACATATGATAATGCATCAGCAGCCATCACACAAAACTACTCTCAAAGGACAAAAATGACTCAAAGACAGGAGAACACAGGTTAAGAAAAGCAAATGTATAAATAAGATTAATAACACCTAAAAAATGATCTTACATCTATGTAGAGACTATCTCTTGTAGAAAATCTGAAGATTTAGGGTAGTTGTGGACTATCTCACAGTAAGGAAGAAAAGAACATTTCTGATTATGAAAATTTTTGAAAAACACCAGAATCTAATTTATATGCAATCTTTCCTTTATTTAATACACCTTGCTTCAGGTAAAAGGGAGTCTCTGAGATTGGAAAATTAGCGATGGAAGTTCTTTCCCTCAAGCATAAGAGGACACTATTACACATAAAAGAAAATTGCTGATTTAAAGCAAGTGATGAACTCAAGCTTCAACAGATGTGAATCTTCCCTTCCCCACAAAGAGTCTGACTGAGTCTATTTTCTTTGTTTTAAGACTCACTAAGGAAAACTAGTTAAGGCTGATGTCCTGGCATGCCCAGGAGGCTCAGGCAGAAGGAACTTGAGTTTGAAACCAGCTTAGACTATATCTTAAGATCCTGTCCAATAACAAAAATCTGTAAACAAACTTATCTAACCTGATAAATGTTCCTGCTTTGTTGCTGGATAAGCAGTCTTATACAAGAGAAACTGAATACAAGAGAGAGTTAATTTCTTCCCTGCACCCCAAAGCAACAAATGGACTATGATTTTCCTATGCTGCTCATAAACACAGAAAAACATTAGTCCACTCCAGCCTTGTTGTTCACACATCTGCCCCAGAGGACAACCACATACACAAAAACCTGCTCTCACTCATCCTTGTACACATTCCTCACTTAGTTTTCTCTTAAGAAACCTTTCAAAATAGATGAACAAAATAGACTGAGCAAAAAGAATATGATAGAGGCTCATAGGAAT